AACAATGTGACAGTAATGATGCTCTCCTATATTTTGAGGGAGCTGCAGAATATTCTTGCTGCACCCAGCTAAGAGTAAGCAAAATCTGCCCCATTCTCCAGACATCTGCAGCATGCCGAGAACTCCCAAAGCTCAACACTGTCTGTCACAGAAATTGTGCGCTGGGTGCATAATCTAAAATTAGTCATCCACAGTATGTGCCCCTTTAAATGTTAATCCTTGCATCGTTTTCTTTTATTGCTTCTGTTGGCATACACAATTATGTGACATAATATAAAAGTAAATAATGTGATGCAATGGGTAAAACTCAAAGGGAAATACATATCAGACATCAGATGCCTCCTACAGCAGAATATGAAATAAAACTTACAGTGAATTGAGAGGATTTTGCCTGTTTTGAGGGCAGCAAAATCAAGGGTATAGTGATTACGTTATAATGTAATGTCTTTCTGGATGGTTTTGACATTTTGCAGCTCTTGAAAACTCATGTTTGTTCAGTGCTGTAGCCACTACTTGTCTTGAGGTGCAGAAGTAGCTGTCAGGGAGTAAGTAACTGTGGGTAATGGGTCCATAGCAAAGCCCAGCAGGGGTGTATGACAGGGCCTTTAAAAAAAGCAAACATAATTTTATTTTAAAGATCACAAGCGTTAAAAAACAATGCAAAACATGCATCTGATCTTATTATTTATTTTCCAGCATGTGAGCCCTTCTCAGGGGAGGGCAGGTATGCAAAGCTGAGGATTTTGGCTGTTCAGTTGCGTCCTGGTAGGAAACCTGTGGGAAAAGCACAAGCTGAGGCTCAGCAGTAGGTTACGAGATATGGCAGCAGCCGAGTTCAGATATAAAGATAAAGCCTGAAATAGCAGAACCCAATGCAAGACCCTGTTTTTTGACCCTGTTGCCCGGATTCAGTAAAACATATGGGTACCTCAGTGTTCAATTTTGCTTTTGCTGAATTGAGGTTTGAGTTACTCACTAGTCTATTTTTACCTTTTAAGTGGCCTTGTAATTCAATATGTGTTTGTTTTAATTTTACACTCTCCATAAAAAGCACCATCCATGACGAGTTGGAGAAGTGACCACTGGTAATGCATAGAAATTTAATCAGCTAGTGTGTCACACTGTCTTACTTTCCCCCTTGCAAACCTGCATGCCACTCGTGACCAAAAATACCCTGTGATACCCTGCATCTCCTCCGTCACCTTGGCTTTGCCACTGAGGCTCTGGAGATGCCGAGGAGGGGTGAGATCAGCCCGGGCCGAATCCAGGTCACTCCGCCAGCCACGCTCGCTTGCACCAGTAGCACTAGCGAACAGCCAGGGCTGCAAGGGGGGCGGGACAGGGATGGTGGCAATGAGTACATCGGCGGCTTCCCCGTGGCCGCTGGCTGTGC